CTGGATTTGGAGCCCAGAGGTTGAGCCAGGAAAGGAGCAGCCCCTGGGAAGTGCCTTCCAGAGGGAGTTCACCTCCTGTGGACCCAAGCAAGACAGACTCTCTGGGCAGGACTCAGCTGCATGGGAGAGGCGGAGAGAACCCCCAGAAGACCCGGAAGGCGATGGTCTGGTTGGATCAATAGTGTGGGTCATGTCAGGAGAGTGTCTTTCAGGAAGAAAGCAAGGGGAGGATTGCTTGATGTGTTTAGGCAGATGGAGAGTTTGCCAGTTCCATTGAGCGTGCACTCAAGGAAGTAGCGTGTATGCTGGGTAGGAACACAGGCTGTGGAGCCAGACAGCAGCCGGAAGAGCTCTGTCACTTTACACAAGTTACTCTACCTCTCTGAGTGGCTATTCAGTGTAAATCTTACTACCCATCTCAAAGGGTTGTTGTGAGGTTTGAATGAATTGATATCCGGTGCTTCAGTCTGTGCCTGATGTACAATGAGCCCCAAATAAGTGTCTGCGGCTAGATGGTGAGGAGGAGGATAAAGATGAGAGATGAAGACACATGGGCCACAGAGTGGCATCAGTGAACTTCAAGAACAATAAAAACACAATCACAGTTCATTACATGGCTCTGTGTCATCAAAATGCAAACACTGAATACTGTGACACCAAATTTTATAATGAAACTCTACTGGAAGCGGGCAAAGCAGGAAGTGGCTTGGGAGGATTGAAATTCTGACCTTGCATTTGAGGACATCAGCGGCCATCCAAAACCAAACATCAAAAACCAGCAGTAGAGGCACATTGTTTAGAAATGGGCGGTAAAGGCCAGATCAAAGACACAGAGGTGCCAGCTGCAGGGAGGGGTGGGTGGGATTCCTCTCCTTCATTACAAGCCTCACAAAAGTGACTTTTTCTGTGTACAAATATAATTGGTTAAAAGAAGGAATTTTATATTAAAAAGACATTCATGAGGAAATGCTGAGAGGACAGAGGAGGTCACCTAAAGTTACCCACCTTGGCCTAGCCGAGGTGATAACTGGTGAGTAGATGGTAATGAACAGCCTCTGTGGAAATCCGTGAATCCAGAATGACATTTGAAATGGGGAAGGTGATAGAAACTGTGCTGAAAAGTAGCTGTAATATAGAAGTGGTGAAAATTTTGCTGCCTAGGTGGCCTCGTACAATGAAAAGTGGATTTCTGATTATTAGACACAGGCATCATCATCTCCATCACCATTAGCAGATAGGGAATTGTGAGTGAGCTCCTGTAGTTCTAGAAAAAAAAAATGAACTGGGGCAAGACTAGGAAAGGGTGGCCAGCAGACTTGGAGGAAGAAGACCCAGAGAGCTCCGAGTACTGGCAAGAGTGGGCTGTGGCTGGGCTGAGGGAACACCTGGTCCCAGGGAGACGTGATCTCCAGTGACCCTTATAATTACACTGAAGGTTGCAAAGTGGCGAGAAAGATGTGAGCTTTGAAAGTCCTGTTTATGAAGAAACAGACCTTGACAAAAGTTCCCCAAACGTCCAGCCCAGGAAATAAACATATGCTCCCCTGTAAAGTATTTTGTTCTGTATTCTGACCAAGAGTCAGTGGGTCAGACACCAAGAAATTCCACTTTCTACTGGCCTGAGATCAGCTCCTCTTTTAGGTCTTGCCAGATTCTTGTAACCCCAGGAAGGTCAAACTAAACATAGAAATAATGAAAAAATCAGATCACTAGAACTAACCTGTATAATGGTTTGAGTGTAGGTTTTGTAGTCACTGTGAGCATTTGTTTGATCTGTATGTCTTTAAGATATTTTAAAGCTGAAACTGGATGTGGTGGCACATGCCTGTAATCCCAGTGACTTGGGAGGCTGAGGCAGGGGGATTGAAAGTGGAAGGCCATCCTGGGCAACTTTGTGAGATCCTTGCTCAAGTTGGCTGGGGATGTAGCTCAGTGGTAGATCCCCTGGGTTCCAACCCTAGTATCACCTGAATGAATAAATAAGTTATACACACATACTAAATTTAAAGTTTTTAATCAATACTTACATGTATAAGAGCATTTTATTTTTTAAAGTATGTTTTACTATCTAATAGTATCTGAATATTTAGAAATATTTCTTACATAGATTTATAGGTATAAGCATTTAGCATTAAACCAAATACAAATAGTTCTTTTCTTTTTTGAAAAAAATTAGTTCTTTAAATATTAAAGATCCAGGCAACTGGGAATAAGGCATTGGGTTGCTTTTTGCTATGATAAGTCATTGGAGGCTTTTAAGCAGGCAAGTGAAATAATTTTTTTTTTTAAGATTGTGGGGGTGTCAAGAAAGGGGGATGTGTAGTCTTGGGTCCTCTTCCACCTGTAAGCATAGTCCCTCATCATTCATTTGACAGACACATGACCATGGGCTTTTAATGTGCAGACACTGCCCTGGGCAGTATGAGATAATCAAAGATAATAATGAAGGGTCTCTAAGCACCCTAAAAGAAACCGACAGGGTGCAGCAACCACTAGAAAGTGTGAAATCCTAGGGAGATGTTACTTCTGGACTGGAGAACCAGAACCAGTTATAAAGTTAAGGAGAAGATGGGAGATTGACATTCCAGGAATGAACTGAGACCCAGCAACAAGGAAGCGAAGAATTTTCCAGGCATTTCCCAGAGCCAATTAATGTGGTTTTCATCATAATCGTCTGTTGCCAATTCATTTAGACTAGTGTTGCTCAGCTCCAATAAAGTGGGTCAGCACCAATAAAGCTAATTTATATTGATAAATCTATAAGGCAGAATCTGACACCCCGGGAGAGTTTTAATTTGCTGTCACTGCAGTTACCACTTTTGCATTAATATTAATTTTTGTGTTATAGAAAATGTGGCATATTGGGTTTCTGGGAAAGTTTCACTTATTTTTTATCTGTGTGGCACTGTCTTATGACCATGAAGAATGAAAACAGGATTGACTGTCCCCAGAGATAAAGGGCTCAGCAAAGGGGAGGGAGGCAGAGGTTGGAGGAGAGAGGAAGATCTGAAACTGCTCATGGCAAGTGAGAGGGCCAGCAGCAGCCGCGGTGCCTGGCTGGGCTCATGGGCAATGACGTGTGCTTGCTGCCCCAGGTGGGCAGTCATGGCCAGGGTTGTGCGCATGCGTGTGTGCGTGTGCGTGTGCGTGTGTACCTGCACACAAGGAGTTCTACATCACATTGGGGTTTTTTAATGTGATTCACAATTTGTTGATGTTTTTGTACCAGAGATTGATCAACAGGTGCTTAACCACTGAGCCACATCCCCAGCCCTTTTTTATTTTTTTATTTTGAAACAGGGTCTTTCTGAGTTGATTAGGGCCTCACTAAGTTACTGAGGCTGGCTTAGAACTTGGGATCCTCCTGTCTCAGCCTCCCAAGCCTCTGGGATTACAGGTGTGCGCCATCATGCCTAGCTACAAAACTGACTTTTTATCTTTTAACAGCCAGAAGTTTCTCATTAGTCCTGTAGAATGAAATAGTCTTATCACAGAATCCTATCTACTAGTTTTTCCAGTTTCCCAAAGTGAATGCTGACATGAACCTTTGGGGCCATATCTGAGTCTCCCTCAGCTGCCATTGTGCCTACTCAAGCCTGTACAATGAGGACGGTGAGACTGTGGAGAATAAAACTACAATCCACAAAGGATTAGTGGCTGCCAGTTTTTACATGTGACGTGACAGGTTAAATCACATTTCCTTGTAGAAACTTAGTGAATGTCATTTTTTCATTGACTAATCATATCCAAGACTAAGAAAAACCACTCACAGAGCTCTTTGAAAGGCTGGACTGCAGCCTCCCTGCATGGCTGTGTCCCAACTGCCCCTAGGACAGCCTACTGCTTCTGCTTCCCATGTGCTCCTGCACCACAGGCCATGGATGGCTTTGAGTGACTCCACCTGGTGTTCAATTTCTTCTCCCCCTGGCACATCTCCAGGCCTCCTTTGTATGTGGGATCTTCATCCCCCTTGTACAGGGGATGTTCCATTTGAAGATAAAGGAGCACAACTCTGGAACCGCAGTCCTGAGTAGCAGTCTTAGTTGGGCCTTGTTCCAGCCAGGTGATTCCGACACGCCCTTGGCCCTGTGTCCCAGCTCTCCATGCTATTCAGTCAAGGAGAGAGACTTGGTGACCAGGAAGTCACCCTTCCTAGCGTCAAGTTCACAGGTAGCCCCAGACCCAAAATGGCAGCACTTTCTGTTTCCAGAAATGCCTGTGTAAAATAAAATCGGCTCATTCTTAAACAGCTACAATTTTTATTTAAAAAAAAAAAACACATACTCACAAATAGGTTTAAGTTTATAGGCAAGTGCCAGAATTTAGGGAGCAGATGGCTTAAAGCAAAAGGAAGACCAACTAAAAAGCAGGCGTTTAGTCTACCATGCCATATACATGTTCCTCAAGTCTTCATATTCTGCCCATTTGTGTGCTAAAGACTAATGGGGTGCCAGGCACAGTGGCACACACCTGGAATGCCTGCAGCTCAGGAGGCTAAGGAAGGGAGCATCTTGAGTTCAAAGCCAGCCTCAGCAACTTTGCAAGGCCCAAAGCAACTCAGCAAGACCCTGTCTCAAAATACAAAAAAGGTCTGGGGATGTGGCTTGGTGGTTGAGTGCCCCTGGGTTCAATACCTGGTACAAAAATAAGTAAATAAATAATAGACTAATGAAGCATATGGGAGAACTAGGGTTAAACCAGACCCTCAAAGCCATGGAGATTTGTAATTGAAGCATCAACAACATAAACAATAATCATCCTATCAAAAATGAACATTGGGCTGAATCCCCACAGTGGTATTTATGTAGCCTCATCTCAACCTGCGTATCCCTGAGCTGACTGTGATGTGCCCCATGTGACCCTGCAGCTGGCCTGGAAGAAGGTGGCCCCAAAGTGAGGTGTAGGAATGTGATATATTAAATCTTTATATTGCTTTTACTAATACACATATTAATATACTTATTTTATTTTCACCACTTTGTATTTGTTTTATATGGCAATATATGAGTACGTACACTTACGGCATTTATACTAAAAATATTCACAGACTCATACTTAGGGTTGTGCTCATGACTTTTTTTATTGACCAGGATATTATAGGGAGACCATTGTTAGGCGAAACAGCCTTGCTCCCTCCTGTATTCCTGAATGGGTGAGGAGTTCCCAGGTAGAATCCAGGGATTGCGGAGAATTTCATCATTCTGGAGTGAGTCTGGAGATAGCAGATGAAGAAGACATTGAAGATGAGTGAGGCTGGGATTTATTTTCCTCTTTTGGAAAATTGGGAAATTAAAGCAAAGTAGAGAGAAAGTTGCTCAGACATTTTTATAACTCAGTATGTGACTTTATCATGAGGTCAGTTCTTTTTAGAGTTCTAAGATGTTTGAAAGGAGACTGAGAACAGGTGGTTTTGGTCTCAAACTTTTCTGCAGGACAGCTGTGGCCTCTAGTGGCAGGTGCTCCAGGAGGGGGCACTGAATGGACACCAGCATGTGAGCACAGGTGACTTAATTAAGAGCCACTGCAGCTTCTCTGTGCCCATGGTAGGCCCTCTGGCTGCTGCAAGGAGAAATGGCTGCTTCAGGCAGTTGGCAATTCTGTTTGATAAAAGGGTGGCAACTGGGTTATAGGAAGGCAAATTCAAGGAGACACCCTACATATTCCTCTGGTTTTAAAATGTGGCTGTCCTCAAGAAGAGTCAGAACAGTAAATGGCATAATAAAACTGCTCATGTGATATTTTTCTTATTTCTAAATCAAACATTTTCTTAATGCCATGTCTCAGGCATTGTTTGAAGTACTTTTGAAGACAGGAACTCAATAATCTTAAGGGTGGGTACTGTTTTTAGCCCATTTTGCAGATAAGGTGTCTGAAGCTCAGAGAGGTGGTGTCACTTGCTTGTGTTCACACAACTTCAGTGGTAGCAATGGGGTTCCCATGTGCACTCAAGCTCCTGCCTGTGCCTCCAGCCTGGTATCTGTGACCTCACTGAACTGGGATGTGGGGGTATGCTTTGCTCCACCTGCACTGAAAAGTCAAAGCAGTTTTGTCCTTTTTTGTTTTTGTTTTTAATTGGTGCATTACAGTTTTACACAACAGTGGGAATCATTGTTACAAATTCACACCGCATCTTTTTTTTTAATTGGAGCATTATAATTTTACATAATAGTGGAAATTGTTGTTACAAATTCACAGTGTATTTTGTCTTGTATAGGGACTCCCAACCCTTTCAGAACTATTATTTTAATTTAGATTCAAAAGACACTTTTCTGAAAATATTATTCTATATGTATTACAAAAATGATTTTCTTTTATTGTCCTCCATTTGCTGAGCACTGTGAGGCTCTATAGACATGAATTCTAATCTTTAAATCTGCCAGGAAGATATCTGCATCCATTTCATTGACGAGAAAGTAGAAGCCCAGCAGGCTGTCCCTTGGCTGATGAAAGCCAACGCAGGAACCCAGGTCTGCAGCTGCTCTTCTTTGTTCTGAAACTATAAACGGGTCCATCTTGAGCGCCATGTAAGGGCATCGATTAGTTTCACCCAGTACCCTGAGATCCCTTTGGTGTGCCAGTGACTAGGGGCATGTGTCCTGGTTTGCTGGAGACACTGTGGATTTATGCCTGCTGTCACAGCACTACTGTTGGCTCTCAAAGACCCAGCTTGGACCGTTAGTCATGTGGCCCCTGCTGCCCAGCTCAGGGCTGTACACCATGTGGTTTCCAGGCGACTGTGTACACAGCAGCAAGCCTCAGGGGCTGGTCCCTTTTGATCCAGTAAAGTTTTGAAGTTTTATCTTCTGCTGGGCTTCATTAAGCCCTCAGTTGGTCTGAGGTTCCCCACTCGCCCCCCCACTTGTAAATGTTGCGTGGTTCTTGGTATTCAGGTTAACAAATTAGCCCAATTAGATGGGTAAATTAGTCCTTCTAACTTTCTGAAGTCCCGCTGGAAGAGCTTTGGGAAATAGCATTTATAGTTTTCTAACAAGCAATTTAAGGACACCAGCATGTGGCATTTGTTTAAGAGTAAAGTGTCTTAAACAAAACCGTACTCAGAAACAGATTTTAGCATTTGCTCTCCAACGGACAGGGCAGGCTGCAACAGGGTGGTACCCTTGTGTTATTTGACATGAGCATTTCCAAGCTGGCTAATTTGGGGAGCCTACATTCAAATACAGCAGGGTCTGACCCACATTTAATTCTAAAGCCTCATTTTTGCCAAAATTTTGGTGGGGGAATTGTTTTTGTGCCCCCTGAGATTTCTAGCAGTCTTCAGAAACAGTCTCAATTCTACCTGAGTGTAGAGGGTGAATAACCAGCAACTCGCAGGAAGTTGAGAGTGATCCCCTCAGAGAAGGCTCAACAGTTTCTGGTGTTAGGGGACAAGAAGCAACATGGGAAAAAGTGACATCCCTTAAAAGCTTGTTGAGAATTCATAAACATTTTAACCTCATGGGGGCTCAGTTTCCTTTGTGTATATAATAGTGACGGTAATCCCTACCTCATAGGGTTACTGGAAGATTAAATGAGATAATGCATATAATGTGCCTGAAACATAATAGGCACTCAATAAATTTAAGGTTCCTTTCCTTCCTTCCTGAATCCTTTCAATTTTTAGCCTCGGATGTCGGCATCCCTTTTCCTGGCTCAACTGCTCTTCAAACAATCTTATTAATGCCTATTAAAATGAAACCCAATAAAAGTGCCAATATTTGGTGTTGAAATAATTGATGTAGCAGAGTGAGCCTGTGAAGCATCCAAGCAGGCCCCTGGTGCAATTTAGCCTCACACCTGGGGGATGAATTTCACAACTGTAATTGCTACCATATAATTCTTATTAATGTTGTGCTATAATTCCTATTTATTCCACAGGGCTTGTAAATGCATTAGGACTTGTCAACATATTATTTTACACTGTTTATGATCTGTAGAATTATGTCCTTCAGGGTTGTATTGTGCAAAAGCACAAAATAAATTGTGTCAGGCCTCATTTAAAAAGAGAAAAAAGTGATGGCTTGTCAAGGTAGTTCTCCACCCCTGCTCTCCTGGATAGGAATCGTGAAAGTAGATTCTTATTCAATTCTTAGCAGAGCCTTTACCTTTTGGAGTATGAGTATTCTCTTCCTGTGTGAGCCATATAACTAACTGTGTTGGGACAACCCTGCCAGGAAGTGTGTGTAGTCGAAAGGTAGATAAGTGTATAGGGAATTGTCCATCTTCCAGAAGCCAGACCTGCATACCCTTCTTACATCTTAACCTCAGAGCTTCTGATATTTCTACCCACCTTGTTGTAACCCTCTTTCAGTGCCAAAAGTGCTCTTCATCTTCCCGGCTCAAATCTATAAAGCAAAGTTCTGAAATTTATTTCCATTGAAGTGCAAGTACCTTAAAAGTACAAAATGCAACCCTCTCCCACAGCTGTTTGCATTTACTAGGCTACTAAATCATAAAACTAAAGGGACATCAGGCGCTATGTTGCAAGTGTGTTGAAAGGAATCTGCCATAGTTGGTTATTTCTGTTCTGGGCCCTCCTGGTGCCTTTGCAGCCACAGGTTGGCCTGCCATAGAATAAAGTTCTTGCTCAGCCTGTTCCTAGCTTTAACCTTTTATCCTCACAGGACTGTATCGGGGAATAACTGCTGTCCCTCCGGGCCTACAGTCACAGCTGCCTTGCCCTGCCAGTCTTCCTGGCCCAGGAAGCTGGGGCCAACCTGTGGTGAGGGACCATTCCTGACAGCCCTTGCTCTTTTCTTTGCTCCTGCAGGCAGTGAGTACGACGAGGAGGAGGTAGACTATGAGGAATCTGACAGCGATGAGTCCTGGACCACAGAGAGCGCCATCAGCTCAGAAGCCATCCTCAGTTCCATGTGCATGAATGGAGGGGAAGAGAAGCCTTTTGCCTGCCCGGTTCCTGGATGTAAAAAGAGATACAAGGTAAAGGAGGTGCAGCTTCACCTGGCATAACAGCGTGGAAACACACAGCCGCCTTTTTTATCCTGTGCGTTGCTGGGCAGATGGCCACAATACATGTGCACACAAGGCTGCCCTCTGGTGAATGCTTGGCAGGGGCTCAGGATCTTTGGTGGGGTATTTTTCCCCTTTCATTAACCTATCTGGAAACTAGAGGTCAAAGAGATCTTCTGTAAGATGATCATGCCTATAAGTCTCCAAATTCATATGTCATCTTGGGGCCTAACAGTATCAAATGTGGAAGCTGAGGACAGCTCAGTGGTTGAGCCTGACCCTGGGTTCCATCCCCAGCACAGAAAAGAAAAAAAAAAAATAGCAAGTGTATCCATCTATTCATTTGCCAAACACCTTCCCCAATAGATGGCTCTCTGGGTGGCTCACAGAAGGCCACTTTGAAGTCATAAAAGCCCCAGAAGGCTCACAGACCTTTTGGAAAAGGTGGCAGGGTATTCACCTTCCAGCTGAGGCCATTCTTGCTGCCTTCCATTTTAAATGGTATGAAAGGGGATGGGGAGAAAAAAGTGCTTTTTTTTTTTTTCCCCTCACCAAACCACCCACTTCACCATGAGCCTCCACCTTTCCACCTGTCTCTCTGCAGGTCTGACTCTGGGTGTCATGGGCAGCCAGAGGTGCTAACTTTTCTATTAAGAAAAGTCAGAGGGACAAAGCAGTATTCAAAAAAGAAATGTGTAGCATTAAAGTGTGAGTCCAGAGAGCATTTAGCTAAACAAAACTGCAAACTTTCCTACAAGGTGTATTTTAAAATACAACCATGAAATAGAAATATAAAAATCAGAAACATACCTGGTGTACTTAATGAAATGCTAATTTACCTATGGCTCAGCAGATTAAAAAAAAAGACTTGAAAGACAGAAGCACTTCTTACATTAAATGTTTCTGAACACTTAAAAAATAAAATCCATTTCAGTACTTTTTATCCCAGCTACTGATAGCAAAGCATAAGCACAAATGCATCACATACCTAGGTTGTCTGAAATTTTGCCTGATCCAGGTACTGTTAGAATTTTATCAAGCAAAGTCAAGATGCTCTTTGTTTAAACTAAAATGCAAACCCCAGGATGAAGATGTGAGAACCCTACCACTGATTCCTTGAGAGATGCTGCCTTCAGGTCAGCGTGTCTCAAAACATGTGTACATCTTCTATGCCAGGAGGCATGAATTGTATCCTGCCTACCCTGGATGCCTACTGTCTCCATGTCAGCTATTCTTCCTCACTTGCCATCTTCCTTGCTCAAGTACCTTAACGTTGTTGGAGCAATGTCTCATGTTAAAAGAGGGTGAAGTAATAAATTGTGGTGAAACTGACCAAAAAAAAAAAAAAAAAAAAGTACTTATAAACTCCCCTCTTTATTCTGTCCAGCAGAGTGAGTCATTCTCTCCCAGCTCTAGCATCATTTTCCTTTTCTTGTTCACATGCTTTCCCCCCAGTCATTTCTATTTTCTTTGTCATTATCTTTTGTTTTTATTCTTTTGGGTTTCTAGCAGCTTACTCCTTCAGTTGCCTGGGTTAGTGAGGACTAGAATTTTCAAAGCCAAAAGAAAATTTAGTGAACCTCAGCCTGCAAAGGCTGCCATTAACTGACAGATGACACGGGTGGCAATAGTTTTCCTGATTCCCTGAGGGAAGTGTTTCCTTTTCTGAGTCAGAATGCAGGGTAAGAATACTTACGTGGAGAACTAACACGTAACTAGTACTCCTAACTATATGCTTAAGATAAGCATTGTTGTAATCCCTAAAAACTTCATTTCGGCTCTGGGAGTTATTGGCTGTGGGGCAGTGCTGTTCTCGAATCAGGTATTAATTATTTCATCTTGTGTGTTGCCTGACTATTGGTTTTGGTATTGTTGAGGGGTGGGTGGTAGTGAGCTAATATATGATGAAGTCAGGCAGAATGCAGAAGTGCTGCCTTTTTTTTTAATTCCTGAGGCAAGTCACACTTTTTAAATTCCTTGTCCCTTGCTTGCCCAGAGTCTCTTACTAGTTTAGTCTCTTAGATACTGACTCAGGACCAGCTCTTCTCATGTCATTGGCATTTACACAGTTGAGAGACAATGAGTATCTAACTTCCCAAATCTCAGGGTGGGTGGGAAGTAGGAGAGGGAGCGCAAAAGGGCCAAATCTCTGCATTTTCCCCCAGGTTACTTCCTATGCCTAGTTTATTTTGTAGTAGAAGAAAAATACCTTTTTTCCTCAACCCTAAGTTCTTAGTTGTAACAGATCGCTGTAACAAGGCAGGCTAGCGAGAAAAGCAAACGGGAGTTTATTCATGGGAAATACCCAGGGGATGAGTGAGTACTTTTTAAAAAGATAACTCAGGTATTATCTTCAACAAAGAAGAGTGAAGTTTTAGAGAAGAGACAAGTCTTTGTGGAAACTTATGGAAAGGCAAAGAAATGGTCAATAAGAGCTAGTTAATAAAGCTTGTTAGGATAGATGCCGCAGGTGCTATCTCCAGGCCTAGAAGTCCAGGCTTTGTCTACAGTGGTTGACATTTGTTCCCCTTAGAAGAGAGGGAAGGTAGAATATTTTTTTGTTGTTGTTTTTGTTTTTGTTAAAGTATATCCTGTTTGGGGTAGAGGAACAGCAGGGTGCTTTCCTGTACCATCTGTATAATATCCTTCAGCTCAATAGTCCTTACTGGATGAGGCATGTTTGGGGTGACACTTTGTGGTCTCCCACAGCTTCCTTTCTGTTAGTATCTCTCATTTTAATTCTGCCCCAAGAAAATGGGAACAGCAGAGAAATGCCATCTGCTCTGGATTTTGCCCATCTCCCAGACTCCCACCTGAAGACTGGGTGCTCATCCTCTGCCCCCTTGCCAAGTCCTCTGGTGCTGCTGGCTGTCAAATTACAGCTCACAGTCCTCTTAGCACCAGCACGGGTCTTGGCTGCGACAGATCACCTGAGGACCAAAGAATAAAGGTATAATGTTTGGGGAAGAGACAAAACAGTGGACCCTTGCTGGCCACTGGAAGCCCAATGTGGTGGTGTGACTCATTCTTACAAATATGTCCCAGATGTTTCAGGATGGCGGTGTTGACCCCACTTTGGTGCTGTTCCCATTTCTCTGCTGACTTCGGACCAGAGAGTGCAGACATCCCACCTCTCCTTTGGAAAATGTATAAAAAATGTGTGGAAGTGCTTTGAGGAATTTTCCTCTTGATAATTTTTATGTCCTAAAGATGAGGACTAAATAGGTTTTCTAACTATCTTTTAAGAAATATAAAGCAGAACAAGTCCCCCCTCCTATTTCTGTGATGCATAGAGTATGCTGGTTGTTTCAGCAAGAGAAATAAGGACTGACCTTTGCCACCTAAAATAAAGTAGGGCAACTCTGTAGCTTGGGGTTTTTCCACAAGAGGGCATGTTAGTCTTTACTTCCCTGCCTGGATGGAACCAAGTACCCTAAAGAGCCCATCAGAAGCCCTGCGGGGAGTGTAACTGGATAGCAACTTGGCAGAAAATAATAACTGGAGCTTTAAAAATGTTTAATACCTTTAGCTCCCTAAATCTTTTAGAAATTGATTCTGGGCTGGGGTGTAGCTCAGTGGTACAATGATTGCCTAAAACATGCCAGGGCCTGGTATAATGCCCAGCACCATAAAATTTAAACAATTACTTTAAGAATGCTATCAACAAAGATTGATGTACAAGAGAGAGTTTATCACTTAAAGTCAGAACAAATTTGGGAAGTACTAATCTTCTAACAGAATTCCGCCTTCCCCAGCACCACTAACAAAAGAACTAACCAAAATACTCTGCCAATAAAAAAAAAATCTGTTTTCAAGAAATATTTAGTGATAAGGGAATGCTTACAAAATAACATTGTGGTAAAAAGAGGTGCTACATTTGTTAAATTGATATGTACACACAGATATACAAGTACACTGAAAAAATACTGAAATATTTCTTTTTCATGCTTTCCTATTATTTTCTAAACTTTTACTTCATATTTGTCCTAATCATCAGGAGAAGACAGACATGATCTTTTCTAGAAACCTGCCTCACTCACCTGCACATCTATTGCCATCCTACCTTGGGGGGGCTGGTGGAATGTTGCCAGACAAGGAGTTTCACTTTTAACCACCACTCTCAGCTGATCTTTTCTCACATCCCTTTCTCCCCCAATCCCCAACTTCATCTTCTCCTTTATGTAGAAGATCAAAGCCCTTGAGAACTGAAAGTTATGTCTTTCCTATTTAGGGCACTTGTCAAAATTGTGCATAAGCCTGAGTACTAACAACAAATTTCAAACACAGAGGAAGACAGGATAGCTCAGCTTAGTGTCTTGACTTTAGGTTTCATGATTTAGAGTGGAATTTTTGGAATAGCCTCTAAACTGCTTGTTGTCCATAGTAAGGACAGGTAGGTCCTGAAGGCAGAAAATCCACCCAAGTCCTCAATTATCCTCCTGTCCTACTCTTTTCCTTCACACTTGTGAACTTGCTAAATCACAGTAACAAAGGAATGGTTATGGTAGGTTCTTTGGCCAACTCTGGAAATAGCAAGTTCCCAAATGTCCAATTGATTGGCTTCCTGATTCTTCCAGTGATAATGGCAACATGTAGGATTGCTGTCTTCCTGTCACACAGCCAGACCATAGCAGAGTTTACACTCAAGCTGGTTAGAAGCCACGGAGCCTGCTGGCCTTGTCTGACTCCTGTACAACTCTGGATCCGTTTTCCCCGTGGACTAGCTTTAGCAATTTCTGGTTTCAAACCTCCCCAAACCTAATTAATCATGAAAACACAGACCTGGATGGAATTGTCTAGGCCCTGCTGCTTCACTATGCCTTTTTGCTTCATGGTAAATGCTCTTTAGTTTCCTTTGACAAGCTGTGAATAACAGCGGGCACAAGG